TGGACCCCTCCCCAGAAAAAAATATAATATAATATAATTATTACATCGTAACTCGTATGTGTTTTTTTTATATTATAAACTTGTAGGTACCTAATATTTAGACCCCCCCCCCACAAAAAATTTCAAAATACGCCACTGCCTACCATAATACCAACTAGATTTGTAAAATTCCAAGTCTAACATTTTCTACGAATACTGCTGATCACAAAATTATTAATTATTATTTAATATTATGTTAATTTAATTGTATATCAGGTAGGTACCTATAATTTATATTTTAGATTCTGAGCAGAGCAATGAATATTTTGATTTTACTATGATGTACCTATATTTAATTTCTTATTTTTTTGTTATTATTTCTTTTTCGTGTTTAATATATGTACACGATAAGTAGGTAGTCAAAATAAACCTTCGTTTTCCATGCATAATAAATATATTTACTCTGTATGTAATCAATGATCATATTGTTTATTTTTAAGTTTCTTTGTATTTAGTAAATAATAATATAGGAAAATGTATTTTCGAATAATAATTGTATGTTTGTATTAAATACTCAGCCACCCTTAATTATTTGACCGTCCCTGCCGCCTGAAACAACTGCTCCTTTTGCCCTCCCCCCTCCTCCGAATTCCTGGGTTTGATGTCATCGCCATTGATATAATATACAACAACTAGATAGCCGTCTTTATATTACAGTTTTGACCAATGTTGAAATCGGCCGCCATTTATAAAGCAGGCAATGTTTACATTTATTTATATACATATATATTTATCGATACATATATACTATGATAATATTATATTTTGTAAACATTGCCTGCTTTGTAAATGGGGGGTCGACTTCGATGACAAAAAGGAGACGGCTATCTAGTTGTTATATATATCTATGATTAAAAGTTGTAGGCAATAATATATCCCCTGATCAATTAACAAAAATAAAAAGAAACATACTGAAAAATAAGAAAATACATACCCCGCGTCCTTGGTGAATCAAAATCTGCTATAAACCTTGGTCTTCGAAACACTGCAATGTCCTCACATTTCAGTCTGCTTATGATATATTTTATTCCCAGCTAACAAATCTTCACTGACGAATTAAATACCATTTCTGAAATAACACGCAGCCTGCAGTAAAATGTTCAACAATATTCTTATGACCTAAGCGATTCAAAAAAATTAATAAACTAAGAATGAACGTAAATAGTCCAGGTCTTGAAACCGATTTTAGAAACCGGTATAAACCGTTTAAAAACTGAAACCGATGACAAAATCAAAAACAAAATCGGAAAAAAATGGAAATCGGTATTAAATCCAAAACCAAAACCGAAAAAAATTGGAAACCAGTGTATAAATCGAAACCAAAACAGAAATTTTTTTCAATCGGTTTCAAGCCATTTAAAAGTGATAATTGATAACCCAAAATGTATATTTTCCCCTTATTGCATTTATGCTTCCACTAATTTAGAGAACACTTTTATTTTAAAATTAACACTTCCATTTATTCCTAATAAAAAGTCAACCATTATAATAAAATAAACAAATTATAATTTAGATTTCAGCCTTTTAGCCTTTTTTTACAACAATTTAATAAAATACATTATATATATATTATATAGAAATATATAATATATTACTTATTAACTATGGTCCTCAAAAGTTTAGTATAATATGCGTTAATAATTTTAACTGAAATACCTAATTTACAAGAGCTAAATATTTTTTTCTTATAACAAGTACCTATATACTTAGTAGTTAAATCAGTAATCGAAAATACTCAGAAATAAAAACATAATGAAAATTGTGTTTACCAATACAGTTCATTATTTATAGTAATTTTTCATGATATAAAATTGAGAACAATTTTATTTTATAATAATTATTTATTAAGTAATAATAATTTATCTACTACCTATACCTATACCTACTTCAATATATATATATTTTTTTAAATGTATTGGAAGCGTTAAAAAAATATATTTTGGGGATAAAGATGGGCCCCGTTACCGTGCCACCCTTGCCCCCCCCATAATCCGTGCTTGTGTGTTAGCTTGTATTTTAGAGTGGACTACTGGAGCAATGAATATTTTGATTTTACAATGATTTGTATATGATTCTCGTATAACGATTTTCTTATTTTGTTGTTATTCAACAACTATTAACCGTCGGTATTTAAAATGTCCATCAAATTTTTAAACTATCATAATATACATTATATAATGTTCAAAATATTTCGACTCGTTTTCAGTGATTTATAGACATTTGAATTATGAAATGTTTTTAGTTCTGTATTCTATGAATTTTATTCATTGGGTCAAAAAGCTTAAAAATAATACAAAGTTAATCGTAAGTTGATATAATAGCAGTTAAAAAATATTAGAAATATATAGGCACGTTTTTTTTACAGGCATTTAAAATTCAAATTTCTACAAAATTCATCATAATCTTGACAATTTTCAAAATATTTTGTAGTCAGATATTCATACAAAAATGTCTTATTTGTTTATCTATACTATGAAAATGTAATAAAAGTTTCCTCATGAGCAGTTATAATAGCAATTTAGAAACAATAAAGATCCATATAAGATCCATTTTTTTAAGAAATTAAAGTTCAATTTTTAACAAAATTTATCAAATTGATAGTTTACAAATTACTATTTAGTAGTAAAATTTATAAAATGTTCAACTTTTATTGCTAAGGATTGAAAATGTAAAACAAGAATTCTCAAAAATAGTTCATAGTGAGTGTTTATACTCTAACAAAAAAAAACTAAATAATCTATTAAAAACACAGTTAATTTTTACAGACATTATAAGTTCAAATTTGGACGAAATTACTTATTACAACAAAGAATAACGATTTTAGTTATTTTGTTGTAATTTAAAAATAGTAGGTGTTTGTGGATTTATAAAACTTTTAAGGCCGTTCTTACGATGTCCGGTTAAATGTAACCTACACATAACCCTTATAATCCTGCAGGTAATAAAATCTGTTGTTAGCGTTAACCGACACTTTACCGGACATTGTAAGAGCGGCCCTCAGAGTATATTATTATAATTTATATACACGAATACACGATGAAACTTTTAAATGTAATTTTTTGGGCAAAAATGACTATTAACTACTGCTGTACTAATACTTAATAATCTGTAGGCAATGTGGTTATGATCATAAAAAATTATTCCACTCAAATTTAAAATACTTTATGTTTTATTATTTTTTTATAGCGAAATATGATTTATTTTTTACCATATATTTTAGAAAAAATGAAAGTAAAATTAAGCCCCAAAAGAATATGAAAAAAAAACTTACTTTAATAGTTTAATTATCGACTCTTTCGGCGGAATCCGTAAAGTGTGAGAACTGTGACGCCGATGACGAAACGCTTCAGAGAATACAGAACTTAAAATATTGTGATTTATAAAAAATAAAATTATACTTGACGCAGTAAGTTTTTTACTCATATCTGCTTTGCTTATTGAAATTTTAGAATTTTTAATTGACTGTGTCGTCTGCAACGACTATGAGATTTGCCATAGAATATAAATTATAGATATTATGTTATACTAGGTAAAGTCAATATGATGAATCCACGGATCATATAATGCAACTTTTTATATTAAAGAGTTCCATGTTAAGGAACAATATTTGTTCATTGAAATTTTGTATGACAAAAATCAAAATAGTTTATAATTTATAATTTGAATTATAATAATAGGTATCAAATATGATATATTATTTGAATTATTATTTTCGTTTATTAATTTAATTATTTATTAATATGGTGAATAGTTATCTGCAGAAGTACAAGCATATTTTTATAAAAGATTATTGTATTTTATAAATCATTAAATAAAAATGTGATTACTGGATTTTAGGTAACATAAAGGTATACTCAGTAAATTCATCAAATTTACAGTATCGGCTATAATACAAACTAGAATCTAAAATTTCAAATCTAACATTTTCTACGAATACTGCTGATCACAAAATTATTAATTATTATTCAATATTATGAAAATTTTAATTGTATCGGGGACCTATAATTTGTATTTTAGATTCTGAGTGGAACGATGAATATTTCGATTTTACTATGATGTGTATTTAATTTTTAATTTTTTTTTTATTATTTCTTTGTTGTGTTTGATGTGTACACGATAAGTAGGTAGTCAAATTCGACCTTCGTTTTCCATGCATTATATATTATAGGTACTCTATATGTAATCAATGATCATATTGTTTATTTTTAAGTTTCTTTGTATCCAATAAATAATAATATAGGAAATTGTATTTTAAAATAATAATTTTTTGTTTGTATTAAATACATACACCATAATAGGGAACTAAAATTGTCATTTGTCGTTAAAATAACAAATTTTGTGAAAAATTCAATTTTGGTAGGTACCTAAGTGTTTTGTGTAGGCATAATAAATGTTACATTAAAATTTAAAAAATTCAAAAAATTACATTAATTGGCTTATAAATTAGAATATAATTACTACAGTTTCCAGCTTCTACTACAACATTAGGTACGTTATATTATGTTTTTAATTATTAAAATGCCAAAAAAGTAACCTTAAATCCCAAAATAATATGAAAACAAACTTACGCTGAAACATCGACTCTTCCGGTGAGAATCTAGGAAAAAAAATCCCCGGATAAAAAATCCCCGGATAAAAAATCCCCGGATAAAAAATCCCCGGATAAAAAATCCACAGGAAAAAAAATCCCCGGAAAAAAAATCCCCATATCTATAACTAATAGTTGGATACAGCTGTAAAAGTGTAAAAAATAATATTGAATACCTAGGTAATAAAAAAAATTAAAACAATATAAAATGTGAATGATAATCATTATAATAATATCTAGTTCTGTGTAAAATAAAAATAATTATGATAATAATAAAAATATATAAAATTTGAATGATAATCATTATAATAATATCTAGTTCTGTATAAAATAAAAATTAATTATGATAGTAATAAAAATATATAAAATTAGTTTAAAAAGTTGATCTCTTGCGTATATTATTACTCACAGCTGTCAAAAATTCTCCAATGGTTATGTTACCTTCATTTTGTCTTTTGACTAATTCTTTGAGACGGATGTTTATAGTTTTATAGTGGCCTCTTTTTGTACTACTCTCTTCGGGTTCACCTAAAGCATCTATTGCTAACTTTGATCGATCGGCATTAATTTCATTTTTAATTTTTCTTATCAGTTTCCATATTGTGGGATGTTTTTGACCAACTAGTTTTGAGAACCTATTGTTCCATCCTTCAACAATGTTGTTGGTTCTGTTGCAGTTATTGAGGGTACTTTCATTTACGTTCCATACAGCTGGAGGGTACATCGGTGGTAGTTTTCGAAACCTAATATTATTTTCATCACTTCCTATTCTTCGATATTTGCCATTAACGTAGTATGCATCAAAATAATCTAACAGATCTGTGAGGTTTTCAGGTAAATTGTCTTTTAAATACGTCATTCCTTCTTCTACAAGGTGCAAAGGAAGGAATGCAAGTGCGTCAACCATTCCACAATGTTTCCGAAATTCTTCATCTCTTTTGTACATTGTGGCTAGACCGAGTTCTTGCACTTTTCGGAACGTTGATTGGCACAAATGATAGAAGCAGCCTCTTACATTTATATGAACACCTAATACTTCTTTTGCTGCTTCAATAACTGCACTTTCAAAATCAAGGTGTAAGTATTTGGGGTCGGGATATAAATTTCGTTTAGCGCATTCTTCCATTATAATTTGGAACATTTCCACGTATGTAGATTTAGTTTTTCTTTGTAAAATACAATAAATAGAAGTTAATAATACATTATTTTTTTTTATACGTATTACGTATAACTGTAAGAAAAATTTTGGGGACAATCCGAAATTCCCGTCTAAGTACCAGGTGTCTGATTCTGTAAGGAGTTTTAAATGATCATCTGTTGCAAACATAACTAATCTTTCAGATGCCCCTGGACCATTGTCCCTCAATAATAGTCTATCATCATTAATAAAAGCCCATTCACCTATAAAAATAGATATAATCATTGTTAACTAATTGTATTTATCCTATATATATAATAATATCTTATACCTTGAATAATAATTTCATGTATGTTTTGAGGTTCCTTTGGATTATGATAACTTCGATGATTTCTAATGGTACGTTTAATATAAGCTTCCTTAGGCAATTCAGCTAAAATATCTACTGCGACATTTTCGATTGCCTCGGAAAATATTTGGCCGGGAGTATCATTTGACGCTAAAGCTTTTTTTTTTATCTTTCTTTGAATTTTTATGGCAGCTATAGCTATAATTAATAATTATTGTTAATATTGATTAACAGGTACATATTATATTATATGATATTGTTATGTAAATATTTATTTATTTATTTATAAGTAAATAGAATCTAATATCATTGTATCCGAAAAATTTATAATTTTAACATTTATTTTTCAATAAAATACTATTTATACCTAGTATTTTAAATTTTTAATAATATAAATAGTGATACGAGTACTCGATTCAAAGCGAGTACTCGTAGTTACAAGTACAAAAAAATTTTTAGTTGAGTCGAGTCGAGTACTCGAACTCGATTCGAAAATTTTTCCTAGTATGTAATGTAACAATATAGTATGTAAAAACAATGTTATTGTATATTAAAATAAAGTTTACCATTTTTATCTGCAGAATGATTATGTTCGTGGATTTCTCTTGGATTTTTTATTGTGTGGGATGTTTTTAAAATAGCTGGACATTTGAATGAACTAAATTTTGAACATCTCCATCTAATAAAATACTTGCAATCTTTTTGACGTACGTACATAAAATCTTTGAAACAAACTTTATCATTTCCATGAGTGGATTTAATTATTTCAATAACACTATTCATTTCAAAATTCTTCAACACTCTTTACAACACTATGTGGGAACTAGAGAAGTATACTGACCGTCTAAGGTGTATTGTACCGTAATAATATATCGTTAGCAATATTGGCGGCCCGCGAAGTGGTAATAAATAGACCACCAATAATATTTTTCTAGACTATAAGTTCAAGAAATGTCGTCAAATTATTTGTTAATCATACTATAATGATTTCAATACGTCGCGATAATGTTTTTATCTGTCTAAAATGCGATTACGTCTGTTATGCGTCCTGGACCGAAACTAATTTGTCAGTCGGTACCTATTATATCGTAATCGCAATCGCATTTATTAAGAGGACGTTACACCGACATATTTTGTTGTCTCCATTTAAGATGTACAGTTAAATATAAGTAAACTTAGCAAACACAACGAAGCAAACTTAGGGGATTTTTTTTCCGGGGATTTTTTTTCCTGTGGATTTTTTTTCCGGGGATTTTTTATCCGGGGGTTTTTTTCCGGGGATTTTTTTTCCGGGGATTTTTTTTTCCGAATACCTCCGGTGAAACCTAGCTAGAGTACTTGACGCCACCGAAGAAACAGCTATCTTCATCCGTCTTCATCTCGTTCCGAACTGTAACTTGAAATTATCGAAATATTTTATGAAAATTACCTGAACATAACGGAATGTGCGAATTCGTGTTAAAACTTACATTATAATATATACGGCTTAACGAACTATCTGTCTATATTGATGGCTTATTATTTTTTTTTTCACTAAAATTATTAGAATTGTTAATCGTCGCGGACGAATGTCGACAATTGGCGATTGCCATAGATGATATAAAATATTTCTTAATATGATAAATCCATAGAACTTCTACACTCAGCACCTTCGACCATATAAACTAATAGACGCGGCGTATGGTAAATATATTGACGCCAACATCTGTCACTGTGTGACGTCACGTTTGGGCAATACCGTCGTAATCGTATACTCACCGTATAGAATATAGGCAATATAGCCAACGCTATTCCAATCTTTTGACGCTCATTATTTTAATAATATAATATTTTTATTAATTACAATATTATTGACGTATTGTCTTTTGTGGATAGTAATATTGTATAATATAACAGTGGCTAATCCGTTATCCCGATAAATAATTGATACCTAAATTAACTGGCTTAGGTACCTACAACTGTCTGTTTCACTTCTCTTATAGGTATAATGGATTGTTTAATATTTAGTTATTACTAGAATATAATTATTAAACTCTAATCTCTATATACATATGAACATAATATATCTATAATAGGTAATATAATTTCTAAGTCTCACATTCAATAAAAATCACGATATAGTAAAATATTATAGTATTATACAATTAAAAAGACTATAAATATGATCTTATTCTTAAAAACTATACAGTTTTGAAATATGCACAAATAAGCTCTAAAATACCAACCTTTAAAATAATTAGTATTTTTAACCGAACCTCCATGATACATTTTGTACTTGGCAGTTTAGCACTCACTATATTATGTCTATATACGATCACTGGTCGAAAAGTAAATGATGCAATTATGTAGGTACCTAAAAATCCAAACCAGGAAATAAAATATTTTTGATTTTATTTAAAATTATTGTCAATAAAATAAAAACCCAACATTTTTTTATACAGATATTATTATTATATTTAGTTAATTACTTAATATTGTTAATATATTTAATATTATAATTTATATTATACATAATAAATCAATTAATTTTGTAAATTGTAGTGACGATGACGTAGTAATTCTACTTTATTTAAAATTAAAGTTAATTTTATTGATTAGAAAATAAAATCTGTTTGGTTAATACACTAGCTGCGAACACGTTTATTATTTCGTAAATCATTGATGGAATTTGCTTTATGATGAAATCTTAATTTTAAATATTGGGCAATTATAATTTTTACCAAAAATATTACATAATTTCCTTGAGCGTCCTCATCAAACATATGATCATGAAAACACTTAAAAACGGATTTATTCATATTTCGTAAACATTTGATCACTAATATCTCAATTATGTTTTCCTTATTTAAATTAGCTGTTCCTTCAATTATTCTGAATTCTGATTTGGCTAGTGTAATGATATGATAACATTTTGTAATGATAAGATAGATAACCTAAAATGTTATGTAATAAAAAGACAGTTTTTAATAACGGAAACGTGTATTATTACAATGGCGCAGTCGAAAAAAACGAAAATGTGACTTGTAATTTGTATAATTCGTAGAAAAAAGTAGCCTAGTTTCATGAGCAAATAGACAAAAGTGAGTTAGTGAGTATTTGTGTTAAATCGGTCAACGGGATAAGTTGTGTTTGCGTTAAGGGGCCGTTATAGTAAAAGTAAAACGTATACAACGCTCCAGAGATGGCGTTGTGTTCCATATCGCCGCCGTCTCGGCAGGTCATAACCACGCCCATTGTCTACGCGACGGAGTCCACGCGTACTAGTCGCGGGAGAGGTACATCATTATTTCACGGACGGTCGTGAAGAGCATATTTTTCGTCAATGCAGTTGAATGCCGCGACGTAGCGTGTTCGATATTTTTATGTCGCTCAAATATTCCTAAATTTCTAGTAAACTAAATTATTGATTAAAAATGATGTTTACCTAAATATGTGTATTAACACATCGAGCATAACAATATTATGAAACAATATAATGTGGTTTATACTTCTCAGGTTATTGAGAGGATTTCAGCGCACTATTTGTTTTGTGTCTCGGGCCTACGCGCCACACAGACAAAACGCATTAACGCAGAATCATTTATTCTATGTTTTTATGTAATCTTAGAGTAAAATCACCCATTACAAAAAAAGATAGAGAATAATATTTTTAAGGGAATGACATCGATTTTATATTTTATTGTTATTTGACTTTGTATACGACTTTCAAAATAAACAAAAATATGTTGTAAATTTAAATTACGTTAAATTGTTTTGAGACAATATTTAGACAAATCGATGTCATTCCCTCAAAAATATTATTCTCTATCTTTTTTATAATGGGTGATTTTAATCTAAGATTACTTAAAAACATAGAAAAAATGATTCTGCGTAAATGCGTTTTGTCTATGTTACGCGTGGGCCAGAGAGAAAAAAATAGTGCGCTGAAATCCTCTCAGGAGTGGGGAGGTTCCTTAAAAGTTTGCCTACCTTTTTCAAAAAAAAAAAAAATTTTTACCGGAAAGTCAAATTAAATTTTTATTTGAAGTTCAAATGTTTGCATGCAAACAATCATTTCTCATTATGACGTAGCGATTTTCTTATGTTGTTATAAATCAAAAACGAATAACTGCAGACTGCAGAGACTTGAAATTTACACCATGTGTTAATTATTTTACCAATTCCTATACTTAATAACATTTTAAAAGTATTTTACTCGTTTTGAGTTGCTTACAAATATATTACATTGTATTAATAATTAAAAAAAAAAATGTTGTCCCCCCCATTTAAAATTCCTGGGCACGCCACTACGATCCCCTTAAAACAATAATTATAATATATAGGTAGGACAGTTTTTACCATAGGTTTAAACGTCTTTATTTCACACGTTTTAATTAACATACGGGTTGTTCTGTTTTCGTATATTATTATATTTTAAATATTATTTTATAATATATATATACGCATAATTATATCTATAAACACTTATAACTTATAAGGAATAAACAAAAGTTATATTATATTATATCAATTTGTAGGTAAATATGTACATCTTGTTCATCACTTATTTTGTTCTTAAAGTTTTCCTAAATAAACAAAGAAAATATTTTATTAATATTTTATTTTTTTGTTGTGTTTTAAAAATACGAAAATTAATTTTACCTTTTCTGTTCAATTTTTTTTTCTTGTGCGTCTATTATTTCTTTTGGATTCCTCATCGGCATTGACCTTAAAAATCGACTGTCGGCTAGTTCTGGCAATATACAGTTGAGATAAAAATATTTTAATTTTTCTACCATCATACTTTTCCACAACTCTTCATCACGTTCAATTTTTTCAACTTTAATGCCTTTAGGAGTCCAAACTGCAAACTGACAAAAACTTTTTTGACACACATTTAGTTGGCCTTGCACTTGAAAATACCAGTTATGTTTTTTATTAATTCCGCTAATTTCTCCAGATTTGTTTAACGTCCAAAATGTTATTTTTTTTTGTATGATACCTTCTTCTGGCGTTAAATGTTCTGCTGATGAAGGACATTTTACCTCGACTATTCCGTCGTTACCAATTAGACCATCTGGAGTAGCTCCTAAGTATGGATTTTCACTGTCCACAAAAATACCACATTTAATAATTTTTACATTTAAAATACGTTCTAGTACTCTCAGTGCTGTTTCTTCATTTGATTTTCCATACTCCATGGCAGTTGTAGTCACTCCACCAAACAAATGATTTTGAACAAAACTCTGACAGCTTGTGGTTTGTCTCATTTTGATAATTTTACCAAAATTAGAGGCGGTGAGCATTTTCCTTCTTCGGTCTACCCATTTGTTTGATAGACTCTGATCCACAGTTTCACGTTCTAAAATTGTCCTTTCTTCTTCGTTCAAAAGTAACGAAGAAAGTATTTTTTCTTTTTCAGCTTCAAAGTCATTCTCTGCCATATCTGGTTTTTCAGCATTATCCCCATACGAAGGATCTGAACGTCCTACTGTCTTATTTACTGGAAATAACTGTCTACGTATTAAACCACGTCTTCTTGAAGAAGTCGCCTGCGCTGCTAACATTATCCTTTCTTCTTTTCTTTTAGTGAAAATTCCAGGGCTCTTATTGTGTATAAGTTTGTGGTAAGCGTAAACTGGTTTTTTTGCATTGTATGTCACTGTGGCAACGTTACACCGTCCCGTGTATGATTGCCTCAACGAGTAATTTATTCTTTTACCTATAAAAAGTAATGTTGACATATTACAATAAAAGAGTGCTAAAATACCAAATAATAAATATATGTTATTTGTTATTTTTTT